AGTTGTAGGAGAGATCTACCAGAACAATAGCTAGAAGAAGGAAGACTAGGGTGAAGATGCGAATATATGGTGCTGTAGTTTTACTTCTTAGAAAAATGACACTAAATATGAGACATGCCCCTTTCTCAGATATCTCACTACCGTATTAATCAGGTCATACCACAAGCAGCCTTGATGCCAGCTCTAAGTGGGTAGCATCCTTCCGTTCAAGATCTGGGCTACTATGGCTTTCAACAGACCTTCTCTGGAGCCCCAGAGGCCAATCTACCAGCTCCACAACACTTCTATCGACTCCTTAGTAACCAGTGTCACCAAACAATACCCTGTCCTTCTCACTCCAGGTCCCAAACTGAGACTCATGAGGAAAGCACCTAGCTTTCCACAGCCCAGCTGCTTCTCTTTTCTGGAGGGGTGGTTCCTCTGGGAATACCACTATGTATTGCAATGTTGTTTAGCTCCCATCCCTCTAATATCTTTTCAACTTCCTCCTATAGTGATTTCTTCTAGTGCAATTTCTTTCTTTTTTTTTTTTTTTTTTAATGGGTGGATTTTTATGGATACAAGACCTGGCTTTAGCAGTGATTCCAATGGAAACCTAATGCAAGTTGTTTTAGGCATACTGATGTGTAGTGAGATAGTCCTTCCACAGGTCACTTCCGCCCATGGCTCCACCCCCCAATGGGCGTGGTCAGTGCTACAGAAGGACTATCTCACTACAATGATATTGCGGTAAATACTGATGGCCTTTAAAAACACAGTCCCATCAGTTCTTGGAGAAGACCAAGGACTCAAGTGCTGGCCTTCTGTATCTCCTTGTTTCAGTCTCAGAAAAAAGCTCAGTGAAAATCAAAGCATGGGAACTGTACTATATATCCCATAATAACTATAGAATTTTAAATGAAAATTGTGCAAAAGGAAATATATACTCATTTGCTTCAAACGTCTAAATATGATCAACAAATAAACAAAATATATAATTAAGTCCCATCAATGCACCAATGATATTTACATAGAAATAGAAGCACTCGGGGCTGGAGAGGGGGCTCAGCAGTTAAGCACACTTGCTTTTCTTCCAGAGGACCTAGTTCAGTTTCTAGCACCTACATCAGTAGTTTATGGCCCTTGGTAACTTTAACTCCAGGGAATCCAACAACTCTGGGTTACTCAGGCATATCTGAAGTCACATCGCATGCCCATATGCATATGCAGAGACACAAACCTGCACATAATTTTTAAATGATAAAAATATAAAATAAAATAGAAACACCCCTCAGATTTTAGGGGACCAAAACAAAAACAGAACAAGTAAAAATATCCAGACTAGAAAAAGTAGTATGAACAAAAATAGCAATGCTGAAGACATCACAATGCCTAATTTAAAAGATAATACAGAGGTATAGCAACCAAAAACATGGTATGACCAGATGTGGTGGCACACTCCCATAGCCCCGAGACTACAAGGCCACTTGATCTAATGTGTTTGAGACCAGACTGAGCAACACAGCAAGATCCCGTCCCAATTTAGATGACAAAATGGAAAGAAAAAAGAAAGAAGAGACAGTAGAGGGAAGGAAGGCATGAGGGAGGAGGGTAGGAACGGAGGGGAGAGAGGAAGGGAGGACTGGAAGGAAGGAGAAGGTAGATTGCACTAACATTTAAACAGAAAACAAACACATTGAAAAACAGACAGAATAGAAAATCCAGAACTAAATTCACATATGTGAGAGGAATTTATCTAAAGAACAACAGACTTGGTCTGAGGTGTGGTTACTCCTGACCCTCAAAGCCAGGTAATGACAAATTGAATCTAAGGTGTGGTTACTGAATCCTTGGAGAAACGAGGAAGAAAAGTCTGTTCCATATACACAATCCCATGTTCCCCTTTTTGGTTAAGGTGTTTAAGAATGGTGGAAAATGGACTCATGGAGTTCAGTATTGGCTGAACCTTCCTTCCTGAATGCTCTCCTGTGTCTCAATTTCTTTTAACATCTTTAGCTAGCCTTTCCTCTATCCACACTCCCTCACTCAAGCACAAACTGTGGGCAAGTCAGCTGGGTACAACTGCAGCCCAAAAAAGACAGCTTCCCACAACTGAGGCAGAGAGAAAATTGGCTCTGGTAAAAAAGAAATTACAGGGTGCACAAGTGGATTGCTTGTATCCCACAGGAATTTTTTTCAAGAAAATATTATTTTATTTTTTAAATTTTTTTAAATGCATGCTGCATAGCAGCCACAGTTACCCCTTTCTCCCCTCATTCCATTTCTCACCCCACTTTTCCTCCATCCTATTCCTCATCCACTCCCCAGAAATGGTAAGGTCTCCCATGTGAAGTCAATGAAGTTTGGAACATCAAGTAGCGGTAGAACCAAGCCCCTGCCCCTTGCATCAAGGCTGACCAAGGCATTCTACCTTGAGTTTTGTTCATGGCAATAAACATGGATGTATTTGCATTCTTCTACACATTGACTGAAAGGGGTAAACTAAAAAAGAGTCCAGACCCTCACTCAGCCCCCTGCTTTAGCAGCCATGACAGGCTACAGAAAAGACATGTAGGCCTCTGACTCAGCACATACACAAAGAAACTTCAGATCCCCTGGCCTCCTAGAGGCTAGGGCCAAAACTGAGCACAATCAAAGCCCAGACCCATCCTGGCCTCTTAGATGCTTGGTTCCTGGAAACTGTTTGGCCAGAAAAGAAACTCCAAGGGAGATCAAAACCTCACCTGGAGTCTCCAGGATAAAATTCTGAAAACTATTGGTACAGGCTACCTGCAAGTAACAAAGCCATAGAAACCACAGAATGTTCCCTCTCAACACTGACCAATGAGAATAATTGGTGCACAGGTATTTCTTGCCAAAATATGACTTTGAGAAGTTCCCCTGATTGTTCCCCAAATATCAACCAACCAGAAACCAACTCATACCTACTGATGTAATTCTGTAATTTTTGCCTTTAAAAACCTGACAGTAGACAGGGAACTCGCTTCTCTGGTGGTTGCTGCATCAGCCAGCTAGACAACGTCCTTATCATGGTTGAATGAACAATAAACCTTATGCATTTGCACCAGTGTGTCTATCTCTCCCTGGTGGTCTCTGGGGATCTTCACAACTTGGGCACAACATTGGCATCCAGTTATGACAGCTTCTATATTTTATACTGATGCAAATGAATCAAGAAAGGCAGGAAATAAGTCAGGAAAAATAACTAAAGTGGTTCAAAACATACATGATTCAGTACAATAATCAGAATTATATGCTATTCCCAAGGCATTATTAGATTTTTCCAGAATCCCTTAAAACTTTTACTGACTCTCAATATGAAGAGTTGTGTTACATATTGAAACCACTGAACTTGATCCAGGTGATTCAGAATTAATTTCATTATTTTCACTATAACAGGAAATAGAAATCATCCATTGTATATATCATATATAACACCCCACACCAGACTACCAGGCCCTCTATCATAAGGTAATGATGAAATTTATCAGCTATTAATAGAAAATGTCTTAAAAGCACCAGATTTTCACTTTTAAGAAAACACGATGTTCATAGCAAAGTTTGAAGAAAGATTTTTCATTCACTTTTGAACAAGACAAGGAAATTATAAGGAATCGTACTTCTTGTTACTTGTATAGTAAAATTGGAATGCCTACAGGAAATCACCGAAAATATATTCAAAGAAAAAAAAGTTGGGAAAATGATGTATTTCAATTTGCAGAGTCTGGGAAATTAAAGTATTTGTATCATACTATAGATAAATATTTGGGATATCAATGTGTTTACAATCTGAAAAGGATGATTCTGCAAATACATACTTAATAGATGTCATGGTCATAAAGGGAATACCTGTATAAATTAAGACTGATAATGCTCTAACATATGTACCTAGAAAAACCAAACCATTTATTGAATACAACAAAAAGCAATTGCAGGTATATCACACAATCCAACAGAACAACCAGTTATAGAAACATCTAATCCCACTTTAGAAGTCTTGCTTAATGAAGAGAAAGGGGTACTAAATACCACAAGAGATAGATTACACAGTGCTATATTATCTTTATATATTTAATGCTAATGAGAATTGAACAACCAGAAAGAGTAAGATGGAGAAAGAAAAATGGATAGAGAGACACACAGGAAGTAGAAGGGAGGGACGTTGATTTTGAAGAGACCGTTTGAGGTGGTAGGAGAGAGCAGGAGCTTTGGAGAGGACTGCAAAGGATGAGGGTCAAGTCAGCCCAGGGCTTTCTCTGTCTCTCTGAGCTAGCAGACTTTCATCACAGCATCGGGCTCCCGAGTCTTTATTGGCAAAATGGAACAATTGAGATTTTGATAAAAACAACATTTGACACTCCCAATTCATGGCACAACCACATGGGCAGAGAAATCGTGCCAGCTGCAGACAAACTGAGAAGCTGTCAGATTTGGTAAGACACCTTGGAAGTCCTCAAACAAGAGAGTTAAGTAATGATAAAAGGAAAAGTCTTTCCCATGTAAAGGGTGGGAAATAACCATAACAGAAGGTGTTGGGACCCAGTAATAGTGCTACTTGAGATGGAAATAGAAGCAGAAAATGAAGAAGTGGCTTCACACAGAATGACATAACACCAGTTGTAATTACTATCGGTCTGGTAATTCGTATTTTATCTTTAATAGCCAGAGTGGTTTTTGTAGCAAATAGGAAAAGTTGATTGACAATTGTGCCAAATATAAAAATTGGGTAGATAAGACACAAGCCTTAGAAGCAGTTGTGAATGTTTTTTTCCCATAAATACATGGCAATTTCTCCAAGTGCCTCCCACGTTTTGCTCTTCCCTGGGGCTTCCAGCACAGGCTCTCCAGATCACCGAGCACACAATGCTTGCATGGGCAGAGCATTGTTATGTAACAGCCTGTCTTCCTTTACTTACCAGAGGTTGTGAGCCTCTTGCCTCACTCTGCTCTCCTCATGCCATGGTGTGAACTTTGAGGTCTCGGCCTTGTCTGCCTCCCGGTGGACTAATTAATTTGCTCTGGCCCATGGCCCCCTTCCTCCGGACATCTACATGGACTCGAGTCCTCCTGGGAGGCTCTCTCTGGCTATCTGTGCTCTGGGTATTGTTGTGCCCCGCGTGCTGTTCCCGTGGTCCACCAAAATGGCGCTTTGCTACGTCTGAAGTTGTGATTCCCAGGAAGGTTCCCCAGAGAATGGGTGGAAGCAATATGCCGGACCAGATCACCTACAGCATGCGCTTCAGGGGACAAAGGCACGTGGTCCACATGAAACTCAAGAAGAACATGATTCCTGAAAACTTTCCTGTGTACACTACTAATGACCAAGGAGCCGAGCAGGAAGACTACCCGTTTGTTCCCCGAGACTGTTACTTCTACAGCTACCTGGAAGGGGTCCCTGGGTCCCTAGCTACGCTAGACACCTGCAATGGAGGTCTGAATGGCATGCTGCAGGTGGATGACTTCACTTATGAAATCAGACCATTGGCATCTTCTTCCAAATTTGAGCATGTCATTTCTCTGCTTGTGATAGAAAGGTCATATAAGTCTAAAAAATGTAGAAATGAAGAGACCGTGGCAGAGGCAGAGGAATCCCTTGAAGAGGCGAAGCTTGCTGGAAGTCCCAGGGCAGCCCCAGTGTATCTGTGGCGTGTGCATGTGAAAATACTGCGAGTGCACTATACGATGAGTTCTTCACTAGCTAGAGCGATCAACAACTTTACCGCCTCACTTGAGATGATATTGGTTATAAACAGCATAGCAGATAGCATTTATAAACTGACCGGATTGGCTGTCTTTGCAGGTGCCATATGTATTTGGGAAAGTGGAGACTCACTGAATATAAACCAGTGGAATGATAATTCTAACAATCTTGTGCAAAACTTTGGCTCTTTTAAAAAAGGTTTACATAATGAAGTCAAGATCTCCATTTCAGTTCTTCTAACAGGACATCAGGTTGGAGGTGTAGATTATGCCGCCCCTAAGAATGGAGTGTGCAAAGATAATTGGGGAGTAGCATATACATATGTTGCAAACCGACATCCTTTTCTGGCTGCAACTATCATGTCTCATGCCCTAGGTCACAGTCTGGGTTTAGAGCATGATGCAACGGGCTGTTTTTGTTTCAGAAGAAGCCGTTGTGTCATGAATGAATTTCCTGCTCTTCTGGATATGATGAGCAATTGTTCCCAAGCTGAGATACATGATAAGATCCATGGATGGGACGAGTGCCTGAGTTTCGATCGTCATCAGTATAGCAACTTTAGATACATAGTTCCCCGGTGTGGGGATAAGAAGCTGGATAACCATGAGGAGTGTGACTGTGGCTCCTTTAAAGAGTGTGTCTATGACAAGTGTTGTGCAACCAATTGTCGCTTTTCTCAGGGCAGTACTTGCGATTTAGGAGGTTGCTGTAAGGATTGTTCATTTGCACCCATTGGATTTGTGTGCAGAGACAAACTTGGCATTTGTGATCTGCCAGAATACTGTGATGGAACTTCGGAGACTTGCCCAGAAAATTTTTACATCCAGGATGGAACTCCCTGCTCACCACTAGCAGTTTGCATGTCAGGAAACTGCAGTGATCGTGATTTGCAGTGTCAAGCTCTTTTTGGATACGAAGTAAGGGATGCTTCGCCAGCGTGCTATAAACAATTAAATCCCAAAGGTGACCGATTTGGAAACTGTGGGATGAAGTTACAAAGAGGAGGGAGCCAACCTCTCGCATGTCAAGATGACGGTATTTATTGTGGACTGCTGCATTGTGATGGTGTCATCCGTGTTCCTGGTGGAGGTGAGCACACTACATTTCATCACATAAAGGTACAAGATATTAAAGAAGAACAGTGCTTTGGGTATGATGTGCACCATGGGACAGAAATTCCAGAAATGGGGCTTGTAGTGGATGGTGCAACCTGTGGCCCAGGGAAATACTGTAAAGCACAAGCCTGTGTTTTTCACCAACATTTCAATTTCAGATGCAACATCAGCTACTGTAATTTCAGAGGGGTGTGTAACAACAGAGGCCATTGTCACTGTGTGCAAGGCTGGCGACCACCAGACTGTGTACAGGCAGGAACAGGTGGTAGTACAGACAGTGGCCCGAAGATCGCCTCTCGTATGTTTAAAGCCAAAATACATGTGAGTGTAAACAGGATACTAATTGTTTTGTTTAGTCGTATGGTTCTTATCTTGGTTTCACTTATTATTGGTGCAATTACAAAAGCAATAATGATTGTAGACCTCAGACAGGAACTATCTACTGTAAGAGGGAACTGATTTCATTCCATACTAACTGGAGCCACACAAGAACAACATCATGTCAGTTACTACAAGAAATTGTTAGTGATTTCCCCTGACAGTCGTGTAATCATTCATAAATCTTGAGATTTTCATCTTGAAATAAAATCACTGGGGAATTAAAATTGTGCCTCTATGTCTAAATTTACTTTTATAATTGTTTCTTAAAATCTCTTCTCTGTGTCTCATCTTCTCTCCCTTCCTCCCTCCCTCTCTCTCTCCCTCTCCCTCCCTCCCTCCCTCTCCCTCCCTCTCCCTCCCTCTCCCTCCCTCCTTCTCTCCTTTTTCCTCCCCTTCTCTCTCTCTCCATTTGTAAATATGAGTGCAGACGCTTGTGGAGGCCAAAGTCGGAGCCCATGGAGCTGGGTTACAGGTGGTTGTGGGTCATCCATCATGGATGCTGAGAACCAAACCCCGGGTCTTGCTCTCCGCAAGAGCAGGAAACACTCTTAACCCCCTCAGTGTCTTAATATCACATAATTTATCACTTCTGAGTTTTGATTTCAGTTCCCCCCCCCCGTGTTGTGATGCTGAGCAGCACAACCAAGTACCCAGGGCGGCACCCAATCCAAGTTACTGTACCCCAACACTTGGTCACATTCTTTATATTTCTATGTGTAAATCCATCTTTCAGATCTTTTTTCATGAAAAAGAATATTTATGATGTCTGTGTTAAAGGTTTTCTAGATGGCTCTGTATCAAATTTGGGCTGCATTAGTATATGCTACTATTCCCTCTGCCATGGTCTGTTTGCATTTGTATTAGATTATTCTTAATTTTATTGTTAATGTAAATAGCATCAAGAGGGACATTTGTGAGTTATACAGATGCATGAATGAAAGGAACATTCATGTCGGAGATGTCAGAATTCCAGTAGTGGTGTTGAACTCTGCTACCTGACAGTGAGAAAACTCCATGCTTTTTCTTTCAAATATCCAGTGATTACACTCAGCGTGCCAAGATGAGATATACTTCTCCAAGAATATCAAAATTGATGCCTGTGCCTGCAATAATGCTGGAGTGTCTTAGGTGCTGAATACACACACCAGCTTCTACCATTATCTTTGGTTGTATGTGCAATGTCAAGAAGGGTAGTTTCGGGGGAGTGTGTAACAAAACAAGCACTGTCGTTGTATGTGTGGGTGGAAACCACCAACATGTGGCAGAGAGGAGGGAGTAGTAGTGAAGATGGAGGCCCTCCCCCTTGTAGACAAAAGGGGTGTGAGCCAGGCTATCCATGCATGTTCTGATACTTACTCACTTTGTCATTTTGTGGTTTCAGTGCTGGCCTGGTGACCTTTCTAAAGGAAAGGGGGCTTTGCACGGGAGGGGAAACATCCAAAGGAGAACTTGAAGGTAGTAATTCTTTTTACATGAAGGAAATCACTGTCAATTACAGGAAGGAGTCATATGTGATCCCTCTGACAATTTCATATTCTCCAAGAAGCCTTGGGGTTTTCATCTTGAAGTAAATTCATGGCAGAATTAAAAAATGGGCTTCTCTGTTTAAACTCATCTAAAACGTAATTTCTGAAGGTTATTCTGTTGTCTTTGGTCTGGTTGTACTCCAATGCCTGTCTGTGCTCTGTATGTGCCTATATATGAGACAGAGCTTCCAAAGTCACAAGAGGAGCTGAAAACATTTAAGAGGGCAGCCCTCCCAGTTTCCAGACAGTCTTGCCCCAAATTTCAAAAGTATTAGCATGCACCAATACTAATATTGTCATGGTGTTTAAAATTGACTGTATTAGGATTTCATACTTGTACATTTTACTGTTGGTATAGAACTGCCAAGATGATCCCCTATGCAAGGCCTCACCCTCCCATGGGAGTGGATGGGGGTTATAATGGAGGGTGGTCCTGGGGGGGTATGGGAGGGAGAGGGACCTCCTGGGATTGATATGTAAAATAAGGTTGGAGAGAGAGAGAGAGAGGAAGGAAGGAAGGAAGGAAGGAAGGAGGGAAGGAGGGAAGGAAGGAAGAACACATGCCAGTGATGCAGGTAGAAGCATAAAAGCTTTTGTGTTCTAGGCATCTGGATTTTCCATATTAGTTTTGAACCTTGCTATGTAACTATCTATAATCGTATTTTCTGGCCTTTGAGGACTATATCCAGTATTCTTAGATGAAATATACTGTTTTTACTTGTTCTAAAATTGAAGATGGTGCACAAGAAAATGACGTAACTATCTAGGAACTGGATACACACTAACTTCTAATCAGCCTTCTCATTCTGATTCCATTTTTTTCTGCTGAATGTGGTCTATTCCATGCCATGCTCACTCTTTGATAGCTTTACTGTTATGTCGGCACACAAGGAATCAGCTGCTATAATTTTCAGCTATTTAAGTACTTCATGAACCTTCTCATGTTTGAAATCATAGGATCGTATATATCGATTCAGCAGTTCCAATATGCAAAACAGCTCTTTCTGCATATTGTGAATCACTATGTTGAGAGGTTTTATAAAATCCATTAATACCATGATCTTAGCACATAATTCTGACTTTCTGACAGAGACATAATGTTATCCACTCTACTTAAATTTTCCGAGTTGTAACCTGCCTTTCCTGATTTATTTACATCAGTATAGAATGTAGGAGCTCCAGACATTGGTGTTTCCCATACAATGTGAGGAAGGATCCAGTTAGTTCTCTTTAAGCTTGAATTATCTTGCTTTTGGTATATTTGTTGTTAATATCTCCCCCAAAATTACTGTAAGGTCTTCGCCAAGGTTCACGTTCTGCCCATAATTTGTCAACTTCATCATTAGTGAAAGGTACTACAGTTTCTGATGGCTCTATTTCTACTAATTGAGAAAGTCTCAATTTTCCTTTAAATTGAATCAACTCAGAGACCTTTTCCACATAAGTTTTTAATTTTCCCCTCTGTTAATGTGGTAAAAAGATCCATTCTAAGATATTGTCTTCCCTCTGCATTAATATTCCTGTAGGGAAATGCTTAGAGAGTGAAATAACCAGAATGCAATCAGGGTCTGGATCCAAACGATCCACATATGCATCATGTAATTTTTTTTTTCCCCACCAAAGCCAATCCTCTCTCAGCTTCATCTGGTAATTCACTTGGACTATTTAAGTCATTGTCACTGTCTAAGGTTTTGACAAATTACTGAGTTCATCCCTGTGTTCCCCAATCGTGAGCCATAGGGAGGAACTGTCTCCTAGCAATCTTTTAAAGTCATTAAGAGTCAGCAATTGACCTCTCCTAATTTCCATCTTTTGGGGTCTAATTTTCTGTAGACCTATTTTATATCCTAAGCAATTAGTAGAAGCTCCTCTTTGTATTTTTTCATGAGCAATGTGTAACCCTCAGCAATGCGAAATTTTCTTTACCTGTTCAAACATTCTAAAGTATCTACATTTGAATCAGCTAGTAAGATGTCATCCATTTAATGGTAAACTATAGAGTGAGGAAATTGCTCATGTATAAAGTCCAAAGGGTGTTGTGCAAAATATTTGTACAGGGTGGGGCTATTTGTATTCCCTGTGGTAGAACTTTCCATTGATAACTCTTAGCAGGCTGAGAATTGTAAGTAGGCATTTTGAAGGCAAATTTTTCTCTTGTCTTTTTCTTGTATAGGTATAGTGAAAAAAATAATCTTTCAAATCAATAAGTATAAGAGGTCATCCTTTAGGTAATAAAGAGGACAAAGGAATTCCAGACTGAAGAGCCCATTGGTTGAATCACCTTATTATCAGCTCTTAGATTTCCACTTTCCAGATTTCTTTTTAATAACAATTATAGGAGAATTTCCAAGGGCTGGTTGATTCTTCAATTCATGGAACATTTTGCTGCTCTTGTACCAGCTGTTCTAAAGCCTGCAGTTTCTCTATTGTTAAAGCTCTTGTGCCCTGTTTTTGTACAATGTGAATGGTCAGTGATTGTTCCTTATAATACTTTCTAATATTTTCCCCAGAAACACATTCATTTCTGGGTTGTTTCTAAGATAGGAAGAATGGTAATATCTGAGTATTCAATTGCTGTAACAAATCATGTCCCCATAAATTCATTACTATGCTAGCCACATATTGCTTTAGTTTTCTTCTCTGTCCTTCTGTCCCTACACATTCAAACCAGCTTGCACTTGTTTTACCTGAGATAATGTTTCAATCCCTAAATGGATGAGGGTAGGCAGGAATGGGAGGGTCAAATGGGGAAGGGAAGAGGGATCAAGGGAGGGAATGAAGGGAGAATAAGCTAAAATTATGGGCCATTTGAGGAGCCATATGGAAACCTAATGTAGTTGGAAGTTTCTAAAATATATACTTGTATGAAGATAATGTAAATGAAATTGCTAAGTAATGGAGGAGACAGTGTCCCAAATGGGTCATCTCTTTCCACCATTACATCTAATTTAGTTGTTGAACAAAGGGGCACCCCTATTGCTAAAGGTAACTCTTATAACTCCCATCTCAGCCACAGCAGCCAGCCAACAGGTAAGAGTCCTGCAGGCAGGCTGCTCCACCACCACAAGATCAGCAGCCCCTTTAGGCAAAAGCACCATCTGCACCAATTGGAAGAAGAGCATCCTCCCAATGCATAGCTCTTTCCAGCAACCTTAGCAGATCCTATAGGCACAAGTGTCACCCACACCAGTTGAAAGAACTGGTATGGGCACTGCTTATTACCAGTGATATCTGAATGCAATAAGGCACATCCTAGTAATACCATGCATCTAGACCTTAGCATATATGTAGAGACGTATCTGACTTTTACTTCTATCTTGAGTATCCCTGAGGCAGGAACATCCCAGTGTTTCAAGGTTTGGCCAAGACATTTATAATAATATGAAAAGGAGACCATTGATTACTGAGGCTTCCAGTGCTAAGGTAACTGCCTAATATTAGACACATGTGCTACTTTTTATCTTTGACATTTATCAGAGATATTCTGGCTAAATGATTAAAATTAACAATAGTTCATTAGTGCTCCTTTGCTTGGTTTAGTTAGCCAGAGTGTCCTATAGTCATGAATGTCCTTGTGTATACCCAGTGACTTCCATAGTGCTTTTCAAATAGTCAAGGGCCCACAAGAAGGTAATCTGCACTGCACCATAGCACTTTTCAAGAGAAGCCATCTTGCAGGTGGAATATTTTGGAGGGCCATGTTTGGCTAAGTCCTATCTCCTGATACTGTAGTAGCTGGAAGAGCTCTGGACATCACTGGATAGGGGCATACAGAGACATGTGTGGTGGGGTTGCTTCCAGCACAGGAGGAAAACTCATCTCCAATGGTGAGATCACAGGTTGAGTTGGTACCATTTGAGGCAGTGCTTCCAGAAGCAGTGAGATTTGAGGATGACTCAATGCAATTTCCATGAACCAAGCACAATGGGCATCCAGGTATAGAGGTTCACTAGCTCAGAGATTTTGAGCTCTTTCTGTGAAGACCAGGAAGTAGCCTACTCTCTATCTGTTGTTTTGATGGTGAAGAGCAAGAAGCTAAGTACACAAATTTTCTTGCCCTGGAGTCCCGGGGGCTGTTAGTGACTGTCATGAGTGGTCAAGAGACTCCAGGAAGCATAGGAAAAGGTTGTTAAAGCCTTCATCACATTAAAAAGACTGTTATCTTACTTTTTGGGTTATTGACAGGTAGTTATTGTGCCTCTCCACAGACAGATGTAATTAATGCAGAATCTGCTGAGATGGGCTTTTAACAGACTATTTTAGCCAAATCTGTAAGGAGAAAATGTGGTCAAGTTGATTGACAGAATCATCTTCTGCCCCAGTACTGAGGATCAGAGGCCTTGCATACATCTAGGAAGTGCTCTGCCACTAAACTAGATCTATTTTTAAATTTGTTTTAAAGCAACATTAATTCTATTGTCCTATATCTTACCTCATAGGCAAAGAATACTTTATACCAAACGAAAAACTTTCATGGGTGCTTTGCTGCATGTATGTCTATGTACCATGTGCATGCAGTGCCCTTGGAAGCTAGAAGAGGGCGCCAGATCCCCTGTACTGGAGTTATAAATGGTTGTTAAGCTGGCATGTAGTTGATAGGAGCTGAACTCAGGTCCTCTGCAAGAATAACAAGTGCACTTTGTCTCTTTATATGAAAAAAGTCAATGTCTTTCAACATTCTTACAAATAATGAATTTGAAACACTCATTCTAGCACTCATGAGACTAAGATAGCCTGGGCTGTGTATTGAGCTCTAAGACAGCTTAGGCTACAGCGTGAGATCATGTGTTTCTTAAAAGTAATTCCTGGAATGCAGCTGGTGCCACTTGTTAAACCTGAATTGTTCTAGTTTCCCCTCCCTGATAGAAACCAGCTGTGGGGAAAGCCAGCCACAGTCCCTGGAGCATACCTGGTCAGAACTTATTTAACGCCTTCACATGTCACCACTATGAAGAGAAATAAAAGGCGTCATGGAATCATGAGTCATTTTCCCCCTAGTCTGCCCTTCCACATTTATTGTTAGCCACGTGTCAGTGTTTGTTATTTTGAGCATAGGCTTTTAGAGATAGGGTTCCATCATTTAATCCTGGATGGCCTGAGACAGGGTGTCACTAAATTTCCCAACCTGGCTTCAAACTTGTGATTCTGTATGATTCTCCACCTCAGCCTCCTAACTAGCCAAGATTACAGATTTGCATCAGGAGGCCTGGCTTAGAATCAGTATATTTAATAAAATTTACTTAGGATATAAAATAGGTCTACAGAAAATTAGACCCCAAAAGATGGAAATTAGGAGAGGTCAATTGCTGACTCTTAATGACTTTAAAAGATTGCTAGGAGACAGTTCCTCCCTATGGCTCACGATTGGGGAACACAGGGATGAACTCAGTAATTTGTCAAAATCTTAGACAGTGACAATGACTTAAATAGTCCAAGTGAATTACCAGATGAAGCTGAGAGAGGATTGGCTTTGGTGGGGAAAAAAAAAATTACATGATGCATATGTGGATCGTTTGGATCCAGACCCTGATTGCATTCTGGTTATTTCACTCTCTAAGCATTTCCCTACAGGAATATTAATGCAGAGGGAAGACAATATCTTAGAATGGATCTTTTTACCACATTAACAGAGGGGAAAATTAAAAACTTATGTGGAAAAGGTCTCTGAGTTGATTCAATTTAAAGGAAAATTGAGACTTTCTCAATTAGTAGAAATAGAGCCATCAGAAACTGTAGTACCTTTCACTAATGATGAAGTTGACAAATTATGGGCAGAACGTGAACCTTGGCGAAGACCTTACAGTAATTTTGGGGGAGATATTAACAACAAATATACCAAAAGCAAGATAATTCAAGCTTAAAGAGAACTAACTGGATCCTTCCTCACATTGTATGGGAAACACCAATGTCTGGAGCTCCTACATTCTATACTGATGTAAATAAATCAGGAAAGGCAGGTTACAACTCGGAAAATTTAAGTAGAGTGGATAACATTATGTCTCTGTCAAAAAGTCAGAATTATGTGCTAAGATCATGGTATTAATGGATTTTATAAAACCTCTCAACATAGTGATTCACAATATGCAGAAAGAGCTGTTTTGCATATTGGAACTGCTGAATCGATATATACGATCCTATGATTTCAAACATGAGAAGGTTCATGAAGTACTTAAATAGCTGAAAATTATAGCAGCTGATTCCTTGTGTGCCGACATAACAGTAAAGCTATCAAAGAGTGAGCATGGCATGGAATAGACCACATTCAGCAGAAAAAAATGGAATCAGAATGAGAAGGCTGATTAGAAGTTAGTGTGTATCCAGTTCCTAGATAGTTACGTCATTTTCTTGTGCACCATCTTCAATTTTAGAACAAGTAAAAACAGTATATTTCATCTAAGAATACTGGATATAGTCCTCAAAGGCCAGAAAATACGATTATAGATAGTTACATAGCAAGGTTCAAAACTAATATGGAAAATCCAGATGCCTAGAACACAAAAGCTTTTATGCTTCTACCTGCATCACTGGCATGTGTTCTTCCTTCCTTCCCTCCTTCCCTCCTTCCTTCCTTCCTTCCTTCCTTCCTCTCTCTCTCTCTCTCCAACCTTATTTTACATATCAATCCCAGGAGGTCCCTCTCCCTCCCATACCCCCCCAGGACCACCCTCCATTATAACCCCCATCCACTCCCATGGGAGGGTGAGGCCTTGCATAGGGGATCATCTTGGCAGTTCTATACCAACAGTAAAATGTACAAGTATGAAATCCTAATACAGTCAATTTTAAACACCATGACAATATTAGTATTGGTGCATGCTAATACTTTTGAAATTTGGGGCAAGACTGTCTGGAAACTGGGAGGGCTGCCCTCTTAAATGTTTTCAGCTCCTCTTGTGACTTTGGAAGCTCTGTCTCATATATAGGCACATACAGAGCACAGACAGGCATTGGAGTACAACCAGACCAAAGACAACAGAATAACCTTCAGAAATTACGTTTTAGATGAGTTTAAACAGAGAAGCCCATTTTTTAATTCTGCCATGAATTTACTTCAAGATGAAAACCCCAAGGCTTCTTGGAGAATATGAAATTGTCAGAGGGATCACATATGACTCCTTCCTGTAATTGACAGTGATTTCCTTCATGTAAAAAGAATTACTACCTTCAAGTTCTCCTTTGGATGTTTCCCCTCCCGTGCAAAGCCCCCTTTCCTTTAGAAAGGTCACCAGGCCAGCACTGAAACCACAAAATGACAAAGTGAGTAAGTATCAGAACATGCATGGATAGCCTGGCTCACACCCCTTTTGTCTACAAGGGGAGGGCCTCCATCTTCACTACTACTCCCTCCTCTCTGCCACATGTTGGTGGTTTCCACCCACACATACAACGACAGTGCTTGTTTTGTTACACACTCCCCCGAAACTACCCTTCTTGACATTGCACATACAACCAAAGATAATGGTAGAAGCTGGTGTGTGTATTCAGCACCTAAGACACTCCAGCATTATTGCAGGCACAGGCATCAATTTTGATATTCTTGGAGAAGTATATCTCATCTTGGCACGCTGAGTGTAATCACTGGATATTTGAAAGAAAAAGCATGGAGTTTTCTCACTGTCAGGTAGCAGAGTTCAACACCACTACTGGAATTCTGACATCTCCGACATGAATGTTCCTTTCATTCATGCATCTGTATAACTCACAAATGTCCCTCTTGATGCTATTTACATTAACAATAAAATTAAGAATAATCTAATACAAATGCAAACAGACCATGGCAGAGGGAATAGTAGCATATACTAATGCAGCCCAAATTTGATACAGAGCCATCTAGAAAACCTTTAACACAGACATCATAAATATTCTTTTTCATGAAAAAAGATCTGAAAGATGGATTTACACATAGAAATATAAAGAATGTGACCAAGTGTTGGGGTACAGTAACTTGGATTGGGTGCCGCCCTGGGTACTTGGTTGTGCTGCTCAGCATCACAACACGGGGGGGGGGGAACTGAAATCAAAACTCAGAAGTGATAAATTATGTGATATTAAGACACTGAGGGGGTTAAGAGTGTTTCCTGCTCTTGCGGAGAGCAAGACCCGGGGTTTGGTTCTCAGCATCCATGATGGATGACCCACAACCACCTGTAACCCAGCTCCATGGGCTCCGACTTTGGCCTCCACAAGCGTCTGCACTCATATTTACAAATGGAGAGAGAGAGAAGGGGAGGAAAAAGGAGAGAAGGAGGGAGGGAGAGGGAGGGAGAGGGAGGGAGAGGGAGGGAGGGAGGGAGAGGGAGAGAGAGAGGGAGGGAGGAAGGGAGAGAAGATGAGACACAGAGAAGAGATTTTAAGAAACAATTATAAAAGTAAATTTAGACATAGAGGCACAATTTTAATTCCCCAGTGATTTTATTTCAAGATGAAAATCTCAAGATTTATGAATGATTACACGACTGTCAGGGGAAATCACTAACAATTTCTTGTAGTAACTGACATGATGTTGTTCTTGTGTGGCTCCAGTTAGTATGGAATGAAATCAGTTCCCTCTTACAGTAGATAGTTCCTGTCTGAGGTCTACAATCATTATTGCTTTTGTAATTGCACCAATAATAAGTGAAACCAAGATAAGAACCATACGACTAAACAAAACAATTAGTATCCTGTTTACACTCACATGTATTTTGGCTTTAAACATACGAGAGGCGATCTTCGGGCCACTGTCTGTACTACCACCTGTTCCTGCCTGTACACAGTCTGGTGGTCGCCAGCCTTGCACACAGTGACAATGGCCTCTGTTGTTACACACCCCTCTGAAATTACAGTAGCTGATGTTGCATCTGAAATTGAAATGTTGGTGAAAAACACAGGCTTGTGCTTTACAGTATTTCCCTGGGCCACAGGTTGCACCATCCACTACAAGCCCCATTTCTGGAATTTCTGTCCCATGGTGCACATCATACCCAAAGCACTGTTCTTCTTTAATATCTTGTACCTTTATGTGATGAAATGTAGTGTGCTCACCTCCACCAGGAACACGGATGACACCATCACAATGCAGCAGTCCACAATAAATACCGTCATCTTGACATGCGAGAGGTTGGCTCCCTCCTCTTTGTAACTTCATCCCACAGTTTCCAAATCGGTCACCTTTGGGATTTAATTGTTTATAGCACGCTGGCGAAGCATCCCTTACTTCGTATCCAAAAAGAGCTTGACACTGCAAATCACGATCACTGCAGTTTCCTGACATGCAAACTGCTAGTGGTGAGCAGGGAGTTCCATCCTGGATGTAAAAATTTTCTGGGCAAGTCTCCGAAGTTCCATCACAGTATTCTGGCAGATCACAAATGCCAAGTTTGTCTCTGCACACAAATCCAATGGGTGCAAATGAACAATCCTTACAGCAACCTCCTAAATCGCAAGTACTGCCCTGAGAAAAGCGACAATTGGTTGCACAACACTTGTCATAGACACACTCTTTAAAGGAGCCACAGTCACACTCCTCGTGGTTATCCAGCTTCTTATCCCCACACCGGGGAACTATGTATCTAAAGTTGCTATACTGATGACGATCGAAACTCAGGCACTCGTCCCATCCATGGATCTTATCATGTATCTCAGCTTGGGAACAATTGCTCATCATATCCAGAAGAGCAGGAAATTCATTCATGACACAACGGCTTCTTCTGAAACAAAAACAGCCCGTTGCATCATGCTCTAAACCCAGACTGTGACCTAGGGCATGAGACATGATAGTTGCAGCCAGAAAAGGATGTTGGTTTGCAACATATGTATATGCTACTCCCCAATTATCTTTGCACACTCCATTCTTAGGGGCGGCATAATCTACACCTCCAACCTGATGTCCTGTTAGAAGAACTGAAATGGAGATCTTGACTTCATTATGTAAACCTTTTTAAAAGAGCCAAAGTTTTGCACAAGATTGTTAGAATTATCATTCCACTGGTTTATATTCAGTGAGTCTCCACTTTCCCAAATACATATGGCACCTGCAAAGACAGCCAATCCGGTCAGTTTATAAATGCTATCTGCTATGCTGTTTATAACCAATATCATCTCAAGTGAGGCGGTAAAGTTGTTGATCGCTCTAGCTAGTGAAGAACTCATCGTATAGTGCACTCGCAGTATTTTCACATGCACACGCCACAGATACACTGGGGCTGCCCTGGGACTTCCAGCAAGCTTCGCCTCTTCAAGGGATTCCTCTGCCTCTGCCACGGTCTCTTCATTTCTACATTTTTTAGACTTATATGACCTTTCTATCACAAGCAGAGAAATGACATGCTCAAATTTGGAAGAAGATGCCAATGGTCTGATTTCATAAGTGAAGTCATCCACCTGCAGCATGCCATTCAGACCTCCATTGCAGGTGTCTAGCGTAGCTAGGGACCCAGGGACCCCTTCCAGGTAGCTGTAGAAGTAACAGTCTCGGGGAACAAACGGGTAGTCTTCCTGCTCGGCTCCTTGGTCATTAGTAGTGTACACAGGAAAGTTTTCAGGAATCATGTTCTTCTTGAGTTTCATGTGGACCACGTGCCTTTGTCCCCTGAAGCGCATGCTGTAGGTGATCTGGTCCGGCATATTGCTTCCACCCATTCTCTGGGGAACCTTCCTGGGAATCACAACTTCAGACGTAGCAAAGCGCCATTTTGGTGGACCACGGGAACAGCACGCGGGGCACAACAATACCCAGAGCACAGATAGCCAGAGAGAGCCTCCCAGGAGGACTCGAGTCCATGTAGATGTCCGGAGGAAGGGGGCCATGGGCCAGAGCAAATTAATTAGTCCACCGGGAGGCAGACAAGGCCGAGACCTCAAAGTTCACACCATGGCATGAGGAGAGCAGAGTGAGGCAAGAGGCTCACAACCTCTGGTAAGTAAAGGAAGACAGGCTGTTACATAACAATGCTCTGCCCATGCAAGCATTGTGTGCTCGGTGATCTGGAGAGCCTGTGCTGGAAGCCCCAGGGAAGAGCAAAACGTGGGAGGCACTTGGAGAAATTGCCATGTATTTATGGGAAAAAAACATTCACAACTGCTTCTAAGGCTTGTGTCTTATCTACCCAATTTTTATATTTGGCACAATTGTCAATCAACTTTTCCTATTTGCTACAAAAACCACTCTGGCTATTAAAGATAAAATACGAATTACCAGACCGATAGTAATTACAACTGGTGTTATGTCATTCTGTGTGAAGCCACTTCTTCATTTTCTGCTTCTATTTCCATCTCAAGTAGCACTATTACTGGGTCCCAACACCTTCTGTTATGGTTATTTCCCACCCTTTACATGGGAAAGACTTTTCCTTTTATCATTACTTAACTCTCTTGTTTGAGGACTTCCAAGGTGTCTTACCAAATCTGACAGCTTCTCAGTTTGTCTGCAGCTGGCACGATTTCTCTGCCCATGTGGTTGTGCCATGAATTGGGAGTGTCAAATGTTGTTTTTATCAAAATCTCAATTGTTCCATTTTGCCAATAAAGACTCGGGAGCCCGATGCTGAGGTGAAAGTCTGCTAGCTCAGGGAGACAGAGAAAGCCCTGGGCTGACTTGACCCTCGTCCTTTGCAGTCCTCTCCAAAGCTCCTGCTCTCTCCTACCATCTCAAACGGTCTCTTCAAAATCAACGTCCCTCCCTTCTACTTCCTGTGTGTCTCTCTATCCATTTTTCTTTCTCCATCTTACTCTTTTTGGTTTTGGTTTTATCTTATGTTCATTTCCAGTCAAGTTGTTACTTGCTCTACCTCTTAACCTATGGTTGACTTTATTTAATTCTGTTTAAAATTTCCAAGCAGTAAGCTCTTGGATTAATGGTGTGTGCTAGTTCTGAGCCACAGGACAACTACAGACAGGCATTTCTATTAATAATGCAATCTTTGGGTTCCTAGTGTGATCAAATATCCTGCAATACTTCTGTCTTCAGGAGTTGTTTGTGAAAAAAAAAAAAAAAAACCCACTTCCTTCTATTTATATAATTGATGTTGTGCACATCCTACTTTATGACTTAATGGTTCCAATAACAAACATCCAGCTTATGATGAGCAGTTCAGATCATATGGTAACTTGGTGGTCCATTGTCAAATGTTCATTTTCTACTAAGGCCTAATAGCAGGCCCAGAGCTATCTTTCAAAGGGAGAATAGATGTCTACAGATAATGGTAGAGCCTTGCTCCAAAATCCCTAAGGTCATTGGTGTGATTCACCTATAGGAGCCTGCTAAAAGCTGCAAACGGCATCATCCCTTTCTGCCACTGACTTTTGTTTTACCAATGACTTCACCCCCTGCTCACTTGATGCAATCATCATAATGCTAGCAATATAGAGCAACATTGTGATATTTTGTGGAAGAGACAGAGGATCAAGATCCCTTCTAACTAAGTTATGACACAGGGCAAGAGAGTTAGCATATCCCTCCCATAACTATATAGCAGTATACCCGGGTATAATGCTGGCCTAGCCAGCTGAAAACAAATTGCTTCTGGAGGTCCTCATGGACAGGTACCAAGAAAAAGTCAGTTGCTAAATCAATAGGTACATACCAGGAAATGTACCATACCAGGAATTTAACTTGCTCAATAAGTACACTATATCTGGTACAGCAGCTGAAACTAGAGTTATTACCCCAGTGAGTTCTTGATAGCTGTCATTCTACACATCTGATTTTTACACTGGTCAGATAGGAGAGTTAAAGGGATATGTGCTGGGAACCCTTGTATCTTTCAAGTCCTTGATGACAGCACTAATTTCTGCAATTATTCCAGGGATGTAGTAATGTTTTTATTCACTATTTTAACAGGCAACTCTAAAGGCTTCCTTCCATTTAGCCTTTCCAACCATAGTAGCCCTCACTCCACAGGTCTGTGAACCAATTATACATCCTGGAACTAGGGAAATAACCACAGGATGAGTTCGGGGACCTACTGGGCCTACTGTAAGTCAGATACTAAACAAAACTCCATTAATCACCTGCCCTCCATAGCCCCTACTTTAACTGGAGGACCACAATGTTTCTTGGGAACTCCCAGAATCAGCATCAATTCTGAACCAATATCCAATAGACCCTGGAAAGTCTGATTGTTTCTTTTCCTCCAGTGCATAGTTAGCCTATAAAGTGGCCATAGGTCCCTCTGGGGAGGAACTGAAGAAAGGCTACCTATAAAACTTTTATGTGTCTTATCAGGGTCCTTTTTCAGGGGAACCTGGCCATCCCTTTTTTCAAAGGATTCTGGGACTGCAAAGTGGCTCAAGTCTAGATATTGATTCATTGGCTGAGAATGCCTTTTGAGAAATTTTCTGTTTATACAGATTAAAAAGAAATGCAGTAGGCTTATCTATTTCATGCCTGGAAACGCCATGATTGATTAGCCAGTACCAAGCATCCATATGAGTTGTGCCACTATAAAATTTATCTTGCTTGTGCTGACCATTATGGGTTAGGCTACTATGAAAATTGTTTGGTCTGTAATGCCCATTAGGATAACTATCAACACCTTGCCTCTGGCAATTCAGTGTTGACACCTAGCAGCCCAATTAAACACAATGCATTTAATTCATACAACAGAACAGCAGCATCCCTAACCCTAAGGTCAGGCTCAAGGAAAAAGGCAACAACAAAACTCTTCAAATGTGCTGGTGTCCCTCTCACCATTTTGCATCTTGTATGATTAGTGTAGGGTGTTCTTCTGGGCCTTCCCCTTGTAAAGGATTAGGTTTTACCCAGTATACCCTCTCTAGCATTGCAATTTTCCTGAACCATAAAATCCCTTCAACAACATTAAGCCAAGGGATATCAGGCATCTCCAACTCCTTTTCAGTTGGTCATCTTTTGATAAACACTTCAACCAACCAATCAAGCAAACTTTTAACACATTTTTAAGCTATGTGAGCTTCCATATTAAACCTAGAATCTCCACTCAGAGGGCCCATGTCAATAAACTCAGCCTGATATAGTTTCGTGTCCCTTCCACCATTATCCCCACACACACCCTTAAAATCTATTCCCACATATTCCCCAGACTTCTACTTAAATGAATTAGCAAAATCATTAAGCTCTTTAGCAGTGTAGTACTGTAAATTCAACAAACCTTATGAGGGCTTCAGTTTGATTTTCTGCAACCTGAGCTTTGCAGCTACTGGAGAGAAGATTCTCTTCTGGGACACACTCAGAAACCTTTAGGTTGTTTATTTGCACCTAGAGATGGTCAGTTTTATCACTAAGTTCATTGTTGTCCTTCACAGTATTCCAAAGTTGGTAATTTTATCATAGAGCTCATTTCTTTCCTTTATCACTTTATCCAGAGATATTAAGAACAAACCGGTGTAATTTCCTTTATATTCTCCCAAACTCTCCAAAGTTTCACTAAATCCATTGTTACTCAATACTGATAAATCAAGATAACCAAAGGCAATTATCTCTGTAAGTTTGAAATATAGTTTCACCATGGGCTTCTACTTTCTAAGCTCCCAGGAGAGTGACTGGAGAGGCTTCAGAGGCAGAAGGTGCTGGTGAATTTGAAGGTGTTGGTAAATTATAAAGTCAATTCATCCTTATACTTATTTCTCTAGAATCACTCTGGTACCAAAATCTGTATTAGTCAGGGTTCTCTAGAGTCACAGAATTTATAGCTTATAGAATAAATAGATATCTTTCTCTCCTCATATATATGTATATGGGAAATATATGGCAATTCATTGGAATGACTTACAGGCTGCAGTCCAACACTAACTAGCTGTGAATGGGAAGTCCAAGAATCTAGAGTTGCTCAGTCTGAGTCTGGGTATCTTAGCTAGCCTTCCATGGATGCTGGAATCCCAACGAAGCAGGATCCAATGCCAGTGAAGGGAAGGATGTGCTGACAAGGTAAGAGAAACCAAAGGAAGCTTCCCTCTTCATAGTCCTTATACAGGCTTCCAGCAGAAGGTGTGGCCCAGATGAAAGGTGTGCCTTCCAGCGTCAAGATCCAGCTCACAAGTGGGTCCTTCATTTTCTAGATTATAATTCATTCCAGATATAGTCAAGTTGACAACCAATAGCCATTAAATCCCCCAAACTAAAAGACCCAAACCAGGTTAACCATGTTGGACTATGCAATAAATAAGTTAATTAATTAATAAATAATAAATAACACACTCCAGGAATGTAGGCTGAATCTGGGGAATACACATGGCTTCTCAAGGTGCTCAGCCATCAAAACATTGAAACTGTCCTCTCTAAGGCTCAGGAAACATCACAGATGAGAAGGGCAGTGAAACATTATTATTTTCTGGGCATGATGTAACCATGATTTCATAGCATCTGTGGCCGCCTGCAGTGAGCCTACATAAAACTGTGTGTGTCAACAGTCAATCATAGATCTGGAAGGGGCTCACAAGGCCCTACCCCTATCTGCTGAAGTATTGGCTACTATTGGATTCTGGGGCAAGCAAAGATATTTTCTTCAGTTACACACCCACCCATAGGCCTACCAAGTTTTTTTTAAAAATGGCTAGTTACAAACCTATGATCAGAAATGGCCCTGGTTAAATTCAGCAAGTCCCAAAACAGAAGTCATAAATGTGGGAAAGGGAAAGTTAAAGGAAGAGGTAGGAGACATGGGTCAGAAAGAGTAGTGGGTAACAGTAATTAGAATGTACTATATACATGTATAAAATTGCCAACAAACAATAAATATGAAAAAGAAACTATAAGATAGCTAATTAAACTTTAAGAGTAAAAGAAAAAACAAATAGAACAAAATAATTATATAAAAACCTAATTTTAAGGTGGGCTCATGATGTCAGACACCTTAT